TGGCTTTAGGATAAGGTTTTCGTAGGGAGGCCAGTGAGTTTGGATAAGGTTTTCGTAGGGAGGCAGCTGAGTTAGGCTGAGATTTTCGCTCTTAGTCCAATGGATTCGGAAAAGCATTTCGCGCACAAGCCTGGCGTTGGGATAAGGTTTTCGTAGGGGTGCCAGTGAGTTAGGATAAGGTTTTCGTAGGGAGGCCGCTGAATTAGGATACAGCTTTCGCTCGCAGCCCACTGGATTCGGAGAGGCATTTCGCGAACAAGCCTGGCATAGCGATCCGTGAATTTGGCGCGCGGTCGCCACATCCATGGATCGGGGGAGACGCCCTCCCCACAATGCGGCCGGTCTCGCCTCGCTCGGCGGCGGAAATCGGTGGAAACGGGGCCCGTCGCTGATCCACGCCCCCTTGATCCATGTTTGCGATCGCCTGACTCCCCTGGCCGCCCCATACCCGTCCCTGGCCACCGCTCTTCTGGCTCTCGCTTTCCCCCGCCCCCTCCATCCCAGCTTCTGGCAGTGGCTCCCCCCCGGCCCCGGAGCCTTCCGCCCTCCTCTCTGAGGATGGCCCTCCTCGCCTCGCGCTCTCGCCGCCCGCTGCCCCGTCCGCTGCCCCGCCCCCCCACTGCACGCCCGTGCCCCGTCACCTGCCGCCGCGCCGCCTGCCCCCCGCAGCGGGCCCCGCCGTCGACCGCGGCCCTCCCCGCCCCCCGCCCTCCCCCTCCGCTGCCCCGCGTCCCGCTGCGCACCGGGCTTGCGCCGCCTGCCTGTGCGACGCCTGCCCTCCGCTGGCCGTCTCCCGTCGTCGTCGTCGTCGTCGTCGTCGTCGTCGTCGTCGTCGTCGTCGTCGTCGTCGCGCTCCTGCTCTTCCTCCTCCTCCTCCTCCTCCCGCATAGATGTTTGGCAACCAGCGCTGCCCACTTGATTATCCTCCTCCTGCTCCTCCTCCTCCTCCTCTTTCTCGTCCTTCTCCTCTTTCTCGTCCTCGTCCTCCTCCTCGTCCTTCTCCTCCTCCTACTCGTCCCCCTCCTACTCCTTCTGCGCCGCGGGTCTTTGCCGCGGGCTCGCTGCGAGCAGGAGCCAGCACATCCCTGCCGCATACTGCGCCAGCCCCGCTGGGGCGACCGTTGCCTGACGCCCTGCCACCCAGCGTCGTCGTCTTCTTATTATTATTATGATTATTATTCGTCTTCTTCTTCTTCTTCCTCCCTTTCTCCTTCTCCAACTCTCTCTCAGGGTTCGTCGTGTGACTCTCCCCGAGGCCTCACGAGCGTGGCTGGGAGCCCAAGCTCCCATCATGCCCTAAGATGAACCCAGGGGCCCACCCTGAAGCGCCCTTGGGGGTCTTATGGGTCATCTTGGGGGCCGTGGAGCCAAAATCATTCAAAACTTTCCAAGATATAAGAAGATCTTCGCTTGCTCGCTGCATTGGTCTTGGAGACGACCAAGACTGCTCGAGGACCCCCCTGGACTGGCCAAAAACGGCACAAGAGGCCCCCAAGGAGGGTAAACTACAGGGGGGGCCGAGAACCCACCGACAAGCATGCAAAAGGCTTCCAGAAGGTATCAAGAGGCTCCCAAGAGGACTCCAAGGCCTCGAAGATGCCTCCAAGAGGCCTCAAACGTGCCTCTGGTCCACGATTCAGACATGGTGGCGGGATGAAACAAAGGCCACTAGATGATACGAGTATCTGGGGCCCAGCGGAAATTTTGACCCAGGGGGCTGCTGAACCTCCCGACCAACGCCATGATTCTACGGGGGGCGGGTGGTCGCTGTCTGTGTCGCCGTCGTCAGCGCAACCGTCGCCGCCGTCGTTGCTGCCACCGCCGCCGTCGTTGTCGTCGCCGTGGCGCTCGCCGCTGTCGTCACCGTCATCGTCGCCGTGCCCGTCGCCACCGCCGTCGCCACTCCCGTCGTCGTAGTCGTCGTCACCCTCGTCGGCGTCGATGATGACGAGGGCGCCGCCTGCGTGGCTTCTGCACCGCATTCTGAAGCCCCCACGGCAAGCGCAAGCTCCCGACCCCCCCCCCTATGCTGTTGGGTCCTCGTGTCGGCTCCGCGGCGCCCCCGCGCCCGCCTCACCGCACATCCTCACCCTCACAAGAAGGCGGCGGCCTGACATCTGCAGGCCTTCCTAAGCGGCAGGGGTGCTCCTGAGAAACCCCTTGTCGGGGTCTTCTGCCGCTGGGGCTCGATCTCTGGAGCAGATTGGAAGCCTGCGAGCGGATGCCCCCGACCCGGGCTATTCAAAAGTATGGCGGCAAACGCGTGCGGACGCCAGCGCGTGCCCTCCTCCCTGCTCCTGCTCTCCGCCCCCCCCTGCTCTCCTCGCATCTGCTCTCCGCATGTCGACTTGGCCCGCCTCGCGGCCCCACGGGGAGCTCCGCCGAAGGCCCCTGTGGGAGGCATCGCATGGCGGCACCGCGCCCATGGGCACACCCATCACACGTTTCTGAAGGGGCCAGGGACACACAAACACATACACACAGATCCCAGGATTCCCCATATGTCCCTATATTGTTTGGATTTTCGTCTTCCCCCGCACTTCCCATAGTTTCCCATATGTTCTCGGGGATCGACGATTGATTGTGTCTGTGTGTTTTTCCCCCCCGAGTTTCGTGGTCCCACATGGAGATCAACCGATGGCTCCAGTGGGAGGGCTCGCATGGCGGCACCACACCCACGCAGGTCTACCCCTCACAAATTTCGCGACTCCACCGAAAGCCCCAGCGGGAGGGGTGGCACAGCGGCGCCGCGTCCACCGTGTCACACCCCTTCACAGGTGTTCGTGGCCCGGCAGGGAGCTGCACCGAAGGCCCTAACTGAGGGTTCGGACGGCGGCGCCGCACCAATGTTGGCACGCCGCTCACGCGCTTCGTGGCTCCGGGCGGAGCTCTTCCGAACGTCCCCGTAGGCGGCTTCGCGCTCATCTCGGGATACCCCTCGCGCGTTTCGTGGCCCGCTGGGAGCTCCACCGCAGGCCTAAGTGGGAAACATGGCACGCGTCCCACCACCCATGTCGGCACATCCCTCACACGGATCGCGCATAGACAGGTTCAGCACAGCACCAACGGTATTTGAATCTGCTCGGTGTTGCGTGCACCCCGTCAAGCTATGTGTCTTGTGGGGGCTGCGTCTCGTGGCAGAGACCGCCAGGAAGATCTGGGCGTTTTTTTATGCCGATACTTGCACCCCGACCGTGGTCGCGAACGCAACATTGAAATGGGGGGTCAGGGGGCGGGCACTTCGCAGTGTCGTTTCTAGATGGGCGCTTTTCACGCTGACAACGGCATCAGGAGCGCGGGAACTTTCGAGAACACACAGGTCCAAATGCCGAGAATACTGAGTGGTCGTTAGAAGCCCAGGGCACCAAATTCCAGATGTTCTCGGGCGTGCCGCAGACCGGCTGGGGCGCCCTCCCTGGGCCCAGAGAGCGTATCTCGGGACACACACTTCCAGCCTCGCCCTGACCGTCCTGGAGCCCTCATGGACGCCTTTCGGTGGGCCATCTTGGAGGCCCTGGGGGATGACCCAAGACGCCCAAATCGCATACGTTCATTAGGTCTTCTGGTGTGGCTTTCGAATGCTCGCATGTTCTGTCTTACGACCGTCCAGGACGGCTCTGGACCACAAGATCGCCCCGAAAAGACCCACGAGACCCAAGAGGGGCCCAAGGGGCCGCCAAGACGGCCCCAAGAGGGGCCCAAGAAGGGGAGCATGAACTGACATTCCGAGCCCTGCACCGCAAGCTGGCCCCCCAAATGACCTCAAGATCCTCCCCAGAGGCCCCAAAAGGCCTCCGAGAAGCCCCAAGAGCCCCCCAGGAAGCCCCCAATGGGACCCCCAAGGTACTCCACGAGGTGTCCTCAAATGTTACGACATGCTTCCAGGAGGCCTCTGACCAACAACCCAGGCACGGTGACGGGACGGGCAACAAGCCATTAGATGCTGATGCCATAACAGCATCTCGCCAATTATGCAGTACCGCTAACGTTACTTGTGCTGGCAATGCTGATGCTACGGTTGCTCATGTGGCTACTGAGCAGCACGGCTACGAACCACTCTCAACTGCCAGGATCCATAATACTACCGCTACGTCTGATGTTTGCTCTTACTACAGCAACCACCGCTGCTGCGAATGCCCTTGCTCGGCAGTCCGGCGTCAATTTCCACGCCGGTTCCCCGAGAGATTTCCGAGGCAGGCGAACCATCATGTCTGCGGTCGTGAGACGCCTGCATGTGCGCTCCCGGCCCGAAGGGCACGTGCTCCGCCGACCAGGCAGTGCTTCTCTTCGCCATGCAAGTGGGGCGCCTTCAATGCAAATGAATCCTGTCCATCGGTCGGAGGACATGGGCAGACACACGAAGTGAGAAGGCGTTGAGAGTACCTTGGAGCTCCGCCCGCCCCCTGAAGACGAAGGCCGAGGCACAACCACTCGATCCTTGACACTGGGAAGGCGCCTGCAATACCAGACTCTGGGGATCCCCAAATACATACGTTCGACGACCGATGGGTAAGAGCCAATCGTTCGCGATGCGTGACTGGCCCCCTCCCCCCCCTCCCCCCCTGGTCGCGCTACGATTCGCGCCTGCACCGCGTGGGGATTAGCCATTCCCAGGCATTCCCAGACGGCGCCAGTGCGAGTCGTGACGTGACCAGTCCCTCCCCCCCTCCTTCTCCCCAGTCACGCCCGCTATCACCAGGGGGATTCAAAAGCTGTCGCTCGTTGGGGGGGACATGCAAAACCAGCGGTCTGAAGAACAAGGAAGACAGCTCGAGAAATTCGGATCAGATGGATCTCACAGCATCGGCCCCATGCCAGCCCGAACTCAGGCGCGTCGAGGACACCACTCGCGAGGGCCGCCATCCGCAAAGTAGTTCGACACGATCCCCTCGCTGGAAGGCGACCTTGGATTTCGCTCCAAAGAGTGACCCTCGGCTTCCTCTCCAAGTTGCCGCCGCCGACGACGACGACGACGACGACGACGCGCCCCCGGGGCGCGCCTGGTGACCAGTCCTCAGGCTCGCCCTTGCCGCAATCGTAGGGTGCCGAGGTGGTGGTCGGGAGGGAAGCGCTCAGCGCGTTGGTCGTGGTCGCCTGAAGCCACGGGGCCGAGGGGGCGGAGGCTGGCGGCCCAAGCTGTGCGAAGGAGAGGACCGACGCAGCGCACCGCGAGGCCGCGTCGAAGAGGGCTGCACCCTCCACGGAGAGCTGGGGGCCAGGGCGAAGCTGGACTACACGATTCGCCGACCCCAAAGGCGTGCGCGATACATGTCCCTCCTTAACTTGCGCTACTGCCATCCTGGACGAGCTATCTGGAACCCGTTTCGAGCCTCTGGGCCTAGGCTTGGGCCCCCCAGCCGGTTGTCCCGACCCCGTCGCCACCACGCTCCAACCTCGCATCAGCTCCCTGGGCACCCGCGTCTTTGCGCATAAACTTAAGGCCCCCAAACCCCTGTCCAACGCACAGGCTGCCCCGACCCCGTCGCCACCACGTCCCAGACCCTCACCAGCTCCCTGGAGACCCACTTTGAGCCTCTGGGCAAAAGCTTAGGAGCCTCCCACCCCTCTCCAAAACATCGGTTGCCCAACCCCGTCGCCACCACGCACCAGACTCGCACCAGCTCCCTGGAAACCCGCGTCGAGCCTCTGCGCATAAACTTAGGGCCCCCCCCGCCCCCTGCCCAAAACACCAGTTGCCCCAACCTCGACACCCTCACGCCCCAAACTCGCACCAGCTTCCTGGGAACCCGCGTCGAGCCGATGCGCATGAGCTCAGGGCCCCCCAGCCGTCCGCGCTCCAAAAAAGCCAAGATCCACTGTAAATTGCTCTGTGTCCGCCCCCTGAGGGCCGCAATCCGTAGTAAAGCACGACGCGTCCGCGCCTCCAGCTTGCAAATCACAACGCGTCCGCGCTTCCAGGGCCAAGATGCCTGGCAAATTACGGGGCGTCCGCGATCACATGGCCACGATCCCTGGTAAATAACGGATCGCCCGCACTTCCAGAACCACTTCAGCATCCTGGGGCGCCCAGGCCCTTCAAGTGCTGCAAGACGAGCGCTTCGCTCGAGACATCCTCGAGGATTCTGCGCGGAGGACGCGCCATCCTCGAGCGGGCACAAACAAATACTTCCCACTGCTCTTACAAGTTCGAAAGCCTCCAGACACTGTTATGTCTCCAGGGTTCCAGGCAAAGCTCCCCGCGCCCTCGTTTTTTGGGAGGGTGGGTAAAAAAACGAAGCCCGCGGACACTGTTATGTATCGAGCGGGCGTTCAAATATCAGCGTTTCGTTTAAGACACTGTCCACCCAACATGAGACTTTACATAGTTTTTTAATCGGGCGGAGATCCTGCGGTCCTACGCGAACTTGGCGCTGGGGGATAAGTTGACATAGAGAAGGAGGACCCTGGGCTGGAGCACCCCCGAATCCGGAAATCATTTAGAAACGTGAGGCATGGCTACCTTTTCAAGACATCTGATTGGGCGACAAGCAATTGCAATACTGAGTGTATCAGTCGCGATGCACCGTGCCAAGGAGTGTGCTGTGCTGTGCCGTGCTGACATGAGATGTGTCATGCCGCGATGAAGTGCGTTGTGCTCTATAATGTTGTGGATCAAGTCGCCTTTGGCATACGAATCCTGACCCAACTGATCTGGATCTTAAGCTCGAGCTGCCTGAGCGCATAGCTGGCTCAGAGCTGGCTGCCGTCGACACGTGTGGGGCACTCCCCAGACTCAAGCAGCTCGAGCTCAAGATCCGACTCAGTTCCGAAGCGGGGCGAGGCGATACGGGGCGCAAGGCGCATGGACGCGCCACAGAATGTGCAAGGGGCGCACTAGGGGATTCGCCAAGGGACGTGTCAAAGGACGTGGCAAGGGACGCGCCACGGAACGGACACGGGAAGGGGGCGCGACAGAGGACGAGCCGAGGGACGCGTCGAGGGGGAGGGGCACACGACGTCCCGTTCTGGGGCGTTAGGCATCCCTGTGTTTTCACGCTTGCCCCGCTCTGGGGCGTTGGGAAGCAATGTGTTTTCACGCTTGTTCCGCTCTGGGGCGTCAGGAACCCTTGTGGTTTCACTCTTGTCCCTCTCTGGGGCGTTCGGAACCAATGTGTTTTCACGCTTGTCCCGCCAAGGGGCGTTGAACATGTACTTGCTTGTCATGCTTGTCCCGCCATGGTGCGTTAGGAGCCCACGTGTTTTCACGCTTGTCCCGCTCTGGGGCGTTAGGAACCCTTGTGTGTTTTCACGCTTGTCCCGCTCTGGAGCGTTAGAAACCAACGTGTTTCACGCTTGCCCCGCTCGGAAGCGTTACGAACGCACGTGTTCTCACGCTTGTCCCGCTCTGGGGCGTTAGGGACCCACGTGTTTTCATTCTTGTCCCGCCCTGGGGCGTTAGAGACCCACTTTTCATGCTTGTCCCGCTGTAGGGCGTTAAGAACCCAAATGTTTTCACGCTTGTCTTGCCCTGGGGCGTTCGGAACCCTCGTGTGTTTAAGCTTGTCCTGCCTCTGGGGCAATCAGAACCAATGTGGGGCGACAAAAAGCGTACCTGTGTTCACACATGTCCCGCTCTGGGGCGTTTGGAATCCATATGTTTTTATGCTTGTCCCGCTCTGGGGCGTTAGGAGCCCACGTGTTTTCACGCGTGTCCCGCTCTGGAGCGTTAGGAACCCATGTGTTGTCACGCTTGTCCTGCCAAGGGGCGTTCGGAACCCACGTGATGTCACGCTTGTCCCGCTCTGAGGCATTCAGAATCCACATGTTTTCACGCTTGTCCCGCTCTGGGGCACTAAAGATGTACATGTTGTCTTGCTTGTCCCGCCGGGCGTTCTGAACCCATGTGCGTGTTCACGCTTGTCCCACTCTGGAGCGTAAGGAAGCCACGTGTTTGCACGCTTGTCCCGCTCTGGGGTATTGGGAGACCATGTGGTTTGAGACTTGTCCGGCCCTGGGGCGTTAGGACCCCACGTGTTTTCACGTTTTTTCCCACTCTGGGGCATTAAACATTTCTGTTGTTGTCACGCTCGTCCCGCTCTGGGGCGGGCGCTAGGAGTCCACATGTTTTCACGCTTATCCCACTCTGGGGCAGTAGGACCCCAAATGTGTTCACGCTTGTCCCGCTCTGGGGCGTTAGGAGCCCACATGTTTTCACGCTTGCCCCGCTCTGGGGCGTTAGGAACCCTTGTTTTCACGCTTGTCCCGCTCTGGGGCATTAGGAACCCGTGGGTTTTCACGCTTGTCCCGCTCTTAGGCGTTAGGAACCATGAGGTTTCACGCTTGTCCCGCTCTGGGGTATTAGAAATCCATGTGTGTTCTACGCTTGTCCCGCGCTGGGACATTAAGAAACCACGTTGTTTCACGCTTGTCCCGCTTTGGGGCTTGTCCCGCTCTGGGGCGTTAGGACCCCAATCTTGTTTCACGCTTGTCCTGCGCTAGGGCGTTCAGACCCGATTGGTTTTCACGTGTGCAGGCCACCCAGGGGGATATCGAACACGCGGTCGACTGGGCCAGCCAACGCGGGGGGTCACAATAGCAAAACAAAACAATCAATCAACCAACACCGGATGTGCAATACCTGGAGTGGTGCTGCTGGGGGGCCTCGTGGAGGCTCCGGTGTCGCCTCCTTGGGCCTCCAGGAACCGTTTGGAAACAGTGTACTGCCGCGCTTGTCCCGCTCTGGGGCGCTCGAAGTCTACCTGCTTTCACGCCTGTCCTGCTCTGGGGCATCAGGACCCCACATGTGTTCACGCTTGTCCCGCGCTGGGGCGTTAGGAACCCATGTGTGTTCACGCTTGTCCCGCGCTGGGGCGTTAGGAACCCACATGCTTTCAAGCTTGTCCCGCTCTGGGGCGTTAGCAACCTGAATGGTTTCATGCTTGCCACCCTCTGGGGTGTTAGGCACCTACGTGTTTTGATGCTTGTCCCGCCCTGGGGCGGCAGAAAATAATGCATTTCACACTTGTCCAGCTCTGGGGCGTGAGGAACGCATATGTGTTTTCACGCTGGTCCCGCCCAGGGACGCTAGGAACCAATATGGTTTCACGCTTGTACCGCTCTGGGGCGCTAGGAGTCCACATGTTTTCACGCTTGTCCCGCCCTGGGGCGTTAGAGGTCCACGTGTTTTCATGCTTGTCCCGCTCTGGGGTATTCAGAACCCATGTATTATTACGCTTGTCCCGCTCTGGGGCGTTACGAGCCAACATGCTGTCACGCTTGTCCCGCTCTGGGGCATTAGGAACCCATGTCTTTTCACGCATGTCCCGCTCTGGGGCCTTAGGAACATATGTGTTTTGAATACTGTCCCGCTCTGGGGCGTTAGGTTCCTACGTGTTTTCACGCTGGTCCCGCCCAGGGGCGTTAGGAAACAAATGCGTGTTCACGCTCGTCCAGCTGTGGGACGTTAGGAGCCCACATGCTTTCACGCTTGTCCCGCCCTGGGGCGTTAACACACTGTGTTTTCACGCGCATTCGTATTCCCACAAAAGCCACCTGGGCATCTTGGGGCACCGAAGCCCCTCACGTTGTGCAAAACGAGCGTTTCACTGGAGACATCATCGAAATCGCTTCGCGCAGGACGCGCCCTCCTGGAGCGGGCAGGCAAAAAGTCAGCATGTGCGCATTATCTGCGAATGTGTAGGGCCTCGAGACTTTCTCTATTTATTGAGGCTTCTGCGCAAAACGCCCTGCACCCTTTTTTAGCAACAGGAAAGCGGGGGCCTGTGGACCCCGTTATCTATCGAGGATCCGGGATAGGGGGGCGCACTTTCCTCGAGCGGGCACGCTCCAAACGCACCTTTTTTGAAAACAACATGGGGCTTTACCTTTGGGGCGCGGGAGGAAGGGGGTCAGATCACAGGCGGGTCGCGGGCGAGTCACGGGGCGGGTCGCGGGGTGGGTCGTCGGAGGGTCGCGTGGGGTGTGGGCGCTCAGCATGCACCAAAGCGAATGCCAAACAGCCCCGCCGTGGGCGAATGCTTGCTCAAAACCAGCGCCGCGTGGGCCCTTTGCAAGGGTTGTTACGCTGGTCGCGCGTGCAGTGTCACGCAATGGTGGCACTCCACAAGCCGATGCAAAAGAGCCCGCAGCGGGCTCGCCGAGGTCCCTCAGTACAGTGTGGGTAGGCTGTGGAGCGGGGGCGTTGGTGTCGCGTGGGCGGGGGCACGCTGTCCGAGGCATGTGTGCGGCCGAGAGGGGACCAGGGGACGCATGGAGAGAAGATGCGAGGCCATGACATCTACGGAAGTATCGTGGCCCCGGCGATGAGATCACCCCCCTTGGGCATCACCCTCCCTCCCTTTGCTGATGGGTAGGGTAGCAAGACATGGGGAGCGGACATCCCGGCGACCGCACGACTGAATGAAGCACGCGTGGGCCGTGGAGCTTACCTCCAATGGCACGGGAACCCCAAATGTGAGGCTGGCACGGGATCGAGTGGGCAGCGCTGGTTGCCAAACATCTGTGCGGGAGGAGGAGGAGTTGGAGGAGTTGGAGGAGGAGGAGGAGGAGGAGGAAGAGGAGGATGAGGAGGACGACTGATCATCGCCCCCTCCCCCCCTCCCTGGCTGCCTCCGAAAACACCTGGCAGGGCCACAAAACTACCTCACCATGCCAGCCCCTCGAAGTCCTGAGCTTGTGCCAGGCCCTGGACAATAACAACAACACCAGTGTTGCTTCATCGGGAGGGCACTCGGGAAGGGAGGGCCTACTGCTGCAGCACCGGTCACGTGTGCGCGCTGGATCTACCCAGAGCTTCCTCTCCCTCGTCCTCCTCCTCGCCCTCCTCCTCCTGCGCTGCGTCCCGTCCTCGTCGTCCTCCTCCGTCCCCCTGCCGCCGCAGCCTACAGGATCGCACTGTCGCAGCCCCGCAGGCTGGTGAAGGTCCTGCCCTCCCTGGCGGGGGGCCTGCCCGATCGCCGCCCCGACGCCTGCCCGATCAAGCGAGTGCCCCGCGGCGTCGGCGAGGCTCTGCCGGGCCGAAGCTCCGACAGCCCCCCCCCCCCAACCCAGGCCCTCAGCGACCCGTGACGGCGCGCGCGGCGGGGGCGCTGCCAGCAGGAGGCCCGTCGTGCTCGTGGTGGTGCTGGACTGGTCCGACCGCATCGTGACGAAGAGCCCTGCGCGCGCAACGCCGCCGCCGCTGCCCCCCCCCCCCCCCCAGGAGAGCCCAGAAGCGAATCGACAAGTCGGATCGGCGATCGACATGAACCGGATCGGCGGACATCGACAGCCACATCGGGAACAAAGACGGATCGGCAGGAATCGGCAGGCCAGTAGGCCACTAAATTGAGACATCGGAGCCCAGCTCGGCACCCGAAGGCGAACCGAATCGGAAACGGAAACCAGCGACATCGAACCGAAGCGGAGGCATCGCAACGAGCCCTGTCCCCCTCGGGCAGACCCCGGGCGGGCAGCGGCCTCCCGTCCAGCGCCGGGCGCCCTCTCGAGCGGCCGCCCCGGCGACGGCGCAGGCAGGGACCTGCCATCGCTCGGGCGTCCATTCCCTGTGCTTTTTTCGGTTTCGTGCGTGGCTTTTTCGCCAATTTTTTTTTCCTGTTTTTTTTGTTTTTCGTGAGTGTTTTTTCGCCAAATGATCAAGGATGCTCCTCGATGGTCCCCACCGAGGAGAAAAATGCACACGCCCGAGCGATGCCAAGCGGAAGCTGGGCGCAGGGACCCCGGGGCGTCGCCCACGAGGGGGCGGCGCGCCCGGGGGCGGCCTGCGAGCTCCCCGTGGACACCGACGCGCCCCTGGGGATGGCCCTGGCGGCTGGCCACTCGTCAGGAGGGGGAGGAGGAGGAGGAGGAGGAGGAGGAGGAGGAGGAGGGGGGGGAGGAGGAGGAGGAGGAGGGGGAGGAGGAGGAGGAGGAGGAGGAGGAGGAGGAGGAGGAGGAGGAGGAGGAGGAGGAGGAGAGGAGGAGAGGAGGAGGAGGAGGAGGAGGAGGAGGAGGAGGAGGAGGCGGAGGAGGAGGAGGAGGAGGAGGAGGAGGAGGAGGAGGAGGAGGAGGAGGAGGAGGAGGAGGGGGAGGAGGAGGGGGAGGAGGAGGAGGAGGAGGAGGAGGAGGAGGAGGAGAGCCCGTTGCCCAAGCACTTGCTGGGTCCAGGCCACTGCGGGCGCGCGCGCGCCCTCCCGCCCCTCCCGTCCACGTTTTGGCTCACATCATGGTTTCCGCCTCTCGCTTGCTTTGGATATCTGAGCAACTCGCTGCTGGAAGGCAGTGTCGGGTCCGGCTCAACTCGTACACGGATAAAGTCACTGCCCATTTCGTGCTCCTCCCGCACTTCGATCCGTGCATGCTGAACTCCTTCGCCGCCGCCGTTATCGACATGCTGCGTCTCTCCTCGTAGAGGCGTGCGTCGTGGATCACGGGCACGGCAACTCCTCCTGCGAGGCGTATGTCTCCTTCTCCATTCGGCGGATCCGAGATAGTGTTGGTGCCGATCATATTGGAAGTGCTGGCGCCGATTTTCGTGGAGGGGCTGGTCCTGGTCTTCGTGGAGGAGCCCGTGCTGCTCATCGTCGTTCCGATCGTCTTGGAGGTGCCGATCGTGGCGCCGATCCTTGTCGTGAAGGTGCTGGAGCTGATTATCGTGGAGGCGCCGATCTTCATGGAGCGGATGCTACCGGTCACCGTGGAGGGGCCGACGCCGATCATCGAGGAGGTGCTGGTGCAGATCATCTGGGAGGCGCTGATGCCGATTCTCGTGGAGGAGCTAAGCCTCGCGGAGGTGCTGGTGCCGCTCATCGTGAAGGGGCGGGTGCCGATAATCGGGGAGGTCCGGGGAGGTGGTGGTGCTGCCCATCACGGAGGTGTTGGCGCCGTGCGCCCAGCTGCTGCCACGACGTCTGCGGAGTGTGTTTGACTCTAGAGGCGAAGGCTCTGGCGAAGGCGATGCGAGGAGCCGCCAGCGAGGCTGGGCGGAAGCGAATCGCCGCAGTTGCTCTGACGGAGGAGAAAATGGGGCGCCCGAGCAGCGCTGGTCACACCCCTCGGCCTGGACGTGCAAGCGCAGCCTCAGGAGACGGAGAGAGGAATCCAGTCTGCGTCGAGGAAGCTGCGCAGGAGGAGGAGAGCTACGCTGCCTGGCTCATCCAGTGGGCCGAGGAAAAAGTCATGATGCTGTCTGAGTTTGCCGCCTCTGCACTTCCAGACATCCTTGGCGCGGTGTCAGCCAACAGTCTCGAGGAGGCGCAGGTGCGATACAAGCTGCTGGAGTCCGAAGCCATCGCCGCTCTGGCCGAAGCCAGGGCTGCTTCCCTGAGGGAGTCGGCAGAGTCAGAGAGCCCGCACATCCACAGCCTCGCGTCGCCTCCAGATGGTGCACAGCTGAACCGGCTCAAGGCCGCCCAAAGTGCCTTGGTCCGGTCACGGTTGACTTCGCGACGATGGGCTGCGATGGCCGAGCAGTGTGCACCTCGAACGGGATTTGAGATGACTGGAAGCTCATCGAATGGGATGTGAGTTGAGCCGGGAGTGCAGCAACGTAGTTGCATCTGTCTGACGTGCTGACGTGTAGAGGTTCCGAGCTGCTGGACGCGGCTCGAATTGCTGGTGGTCCTGGGGGCCGGGTTTCCGCGGCTAGGCCTTTGGGGGCCCTTTGTCCTCGGGTTGTCGGGTTCCTACCTACGCTCCCCCCCTGCGGCCTCCCTCTCTTCCTGCTCTTTCTTTCTTCTTCCTTGTTTCTCCCCTCTTGGGGGGGTGCGTTGGCGGGTTCCTGTTCTGGGTCTCTGGGGTGTCTCTTGGGTTCCTCGTCGCCTCTGTCATGTTTCCATCCCGCTCCTTCTCGCCCTTATCCCTGCACAGGCTTCGACCCTCTTGCCTCAGGAACGATCGAACGAACGAACGAACGAACGAGGAGGAGGAGGAGGAGGAGGAGGAGGAGGAGGCGTCCCAGCCATTCCCGTACTCAGGCCCTCGTCGCCAAGCGAGGGCCCCCTCCTGGGAGCGCGAGCACGACGGCCCCGCTCCAGCTGGCCCGCCCCATCGGGCAGCACGGAGCCCGATCGATCGACGGGTCGGCGACCTTATCAGGCCCCAGCCGACACATCAAGGCCTCTGGCCAGTAGCTCTCGGGAAGCCCCCAGAGGCCCCTCAGAAGCCCCCCAAGAGCCCCCTAGAGGACCCCGAGAGACCCCCAGGAAGCCCCAAGAGGCCCCCACGAGGCTCCCAAGCGGCTCCCAAGAGCTTCCCAAGAGGCCCCAAAACTACACCCAAGAGGCCCCCGAGAGCGCTCGTCGTCGTCGTCGTTTTCGTCGTCGTCGTCGTCGTCGTCGTCGTCGTCGTCGTCGTCGTCGTCGTCGTCGTCGTGGTCGTCATCATTCAGGGTCGGCGGCACCAGCCGTAAGGCCTTCGCAATATAGAAATGTGTGGCATGGCAACGTTGTTAAGACATCTGATCGGGCGACGGGCAATGGCAATGCTGAGTGTACCGATCTTGATGTACCGTGCCAAGGGCTGTGCTGTGCTGCGCCGTGCTGAATTCCGATGTGCCATGTCGCGGTTGTTGTGCTCTATAGCGTTGTGGGTCGAGTCCTCCTTTGCATCCGAGTCCTGACAGAACTGATCTGGATCTGAAGCACGAGCTGCCTGAGCACAAAGTCACTGCCCCCAGAGCTTGTTGAGGTGGAAACGTGGAGGACGTTCAATCAACTCGGCCTCTAAATCCGACTCAGCTCCGAAAAGGAACGACACGACACGGGGCACATGCTCACGGACGCGCCACAGGATGTGCCAGGGGCGCAATAGGGGATGCGGAAGGGGGCGTTTCAACAGACGTATCAAAGGACGTTAGACGCGTCAGGGACCCGTCACGGGACGTGCCAAAGCGCGTGCCAAGGGGCGGCCAGAGGACGTCATGCCAAAAAGACGTTGCAAGGGGCGCGCCACGGAGCGGGCAAGGAAAACGCATGGGGACGAGCCAGGAAACGCGACAGAGGACGAGCCAGGAAACGTGCCACGCCGAGTAGCGTGCCAGGGACTTGCCAGGGCACGTCACGCCAGAACGTCGCAAGGGACGCGCCAGGGGACTCGCCAACGCGCCAGGGGGCGCACCACGGACGGGCGGTGTTGGACTGCGACGCACTCCACTGCGACAAGCGTTTCGCTCGAGACAACCTGAACAAATCCTCATGTTATGCATCCGCCTGGGCGACCTGGGCACGTGCAAACAAGCGTGTCGCTCGAGACATCCTCACCACATCCTCATGCTAGACATCCGCCTGGGCGACCTGGACTCGTGGCATCAAGCGTTACGCTCGAGACATTCTCAACACCTCCTCATGCTAGACATCTGCCTAGGCGACCTGGACGCGTGAAAACAAACGTCTCGCTCAAGACATCCTCAACACATCTTGATGTTGGACATCCGCCTGGGCGACCTGAGCACGTGTGAACAAGCGTCTCACTCGAGACGTTCTCAACGCCTCCTCATGCCAGACATCCGCCTGGGCGGCCTGGAGACGTGAAAGCAAGCGTCCCGCTCGAGACATCCTCGACATATCTTCATGTTAGACATCCGCCTGGGCGACCTGGGCACGTGTAAACAAGCATCTCACTCGAGACGTTCTCAACGCCTCTTCATGCTAGACATCCGCCTGGGCGACCTGGACACATGAAACCAAGCGTGTCGCTCGAGACATCCTCAGCACATCCTCATGCTAGACATCCGCCTGGGCGACCTGGACTCGTGGCATCAAGCGTTTCGCTCGAGACATTCTCAACACCTCCTCATGCTAGACATCTGCCTGGGCAACTTGCACGCGTGAAAGCAAGCGTCTCGCTCGAGACATCCTCAAGACCTGAGAACGTGAAAACATCCATTTCACATGAGACATCCTCTGAATTCTGGTCCCCAGGGGAGGAGCAATCTATAACGCAAACCAAGCGTTTCGCTCGAGACATCCTCAACAAATTCAGCAAATCAAGCGTTTCGCTCGAGACATCCGCAACAAACGAATATGTGTCCCGCACCCTGTGATTTATCGATCGGGATTTCAAGAAACAGCGTTTCGCTGGGGACATCCTCAACTTTTTAATTCGAAGGCCCTACGCGACCTCGTTTTTATCGCAGATTAATTTCGCCGGCCCTGCGTAAGTCGAGA